AATACAAGCAGAGTACTACCAGAACTAATTTTTCTAATCTAGAAATTTCAAGTGCTAGTCCTCTGTCTTATGAACTTCTTGGGGAGTTCATGGACATCGTTGCGCAGAATCTCAAGGATCTGCTAATTGTTCGCCTTGGCAAGCCACCTGCCTTGCATGCTGAGTCACTGATGTATTTTCAAGTGAAGGATCAAATGGAAGTGGTCGAAAAGGAGTTGACAGCGCTCAAGAACTTTGTCTTCTTTCTGGGAAAACTATGCACTTCACAACTCCAAACCCGCTGGCAAACTTTCTCCCGTCATGTTGAATTTGTGGCTACCGTTGCAGCAATTATTTTCTTCTTGTATATGCCTAACCTCAAGGACAGCGAATCTGTTGCTATAGAATTTACTGATTTGCTTTCTGATTTGCTGCGGAGAAGGATCAAGCCTATTGAGCCAGGGGTCCGCAACATCTATGCTGACGTCCTCAGAGATTTGAGGTCATCAAGCACTCCTCCCATGTCCTCAATTGAACCAGCAGCTGGATTCATCAACACTCTTCTGCACATTTCGACCGAATTAAGAGGGCTTTATACCTTCAATGCAGATCAAATGGAAACCCTTCCTGAGCAGCTTTAACACATTGAGAATTATTCTCAATGAGCTGGCATTGACATACAACATTCAGGATAAAATGAGGATCCATTTCTTCAGACGAGTCGAGATTTTGGTCATTGATGCTGGGCTTATTGTTTATTCATTGTACGATAGCAGAAAGAGCAAAGAAGACCGAAATCAAGACCTCTTTCTTTTGGCTGACAAGATTCAGCTTGTGAAGAAGCAAATTTACCTTGACATCCGAGAGGGGATACAACCCCATTTGCCTAAGAATGATGTATTGGGCTTTTTTGTTTTCCTTCTGAACGGCTTGAAGGAGCTCCTTTCTAGCCATGCCGATTCACTTGCTTCTGTCCAGAATGAACTTGATGTGGTCCATGAGGAGCTTCAACTTCTCCAACCATTCCTAGAAGATGTAGCAAGACAACGCCATAATAAACCTGAAGAACTTCAAAATCTTGCTGAAAGAGTCATTGATAAGGCATATGAGGTTGAGTACATAGTTGATTCTTTTGTAGTGAGAGATATTCCTCATACTTATCTTACAGTATGGCTCTCAGAAATCATATGGGAGATTAAGCTTATCAAGACAGAGTTGACCAAATCCTCGGTAAAGAATATGACAATCGCTTCCTCTTCTGCCGATGAAGAATTGATAGGTTTTGACGATGTGAGGGAAACTATAAGAGGTCAACTAGTTCGAGTATCACCAGAGCTAGATGTTATTTCCATTGTCGGTATGGCTGGCACTGGTAAAACGACCCTTGCTCGAAGTTTTATCAAAAATGATTCTCATTTTGATTTCTGGGGAGAGTGTCGTGTATCTCAGGTATACACGCGGAAAGACTTGTTACTTTCCATTTTGAGTTCTAATTGTGACCCTACTGAAATTAGTAAAGAAGCTGATGATGAGTTAGCTGATAGACTACGGAAACTTTTATTGACAAAGAGATACCTTCTGATCATTGATGATGTATGGGAAGTAAAAGCATGGGATGATTTGATATTATGCTTTCCTGATGCTAGGAATGGTAGCAGAATCATTCTGACCACCAGACTTCAAAAAGTTTCTGTTTACGCTAAACTTGTTACTGAACCCCATTTCCTACGTCCTCTGAACGAGCAAGAAAGTTGGTTGTTATTGCAAAAAAGGGTATTTGGAAAAGAAATCTGCCCTGAACAGCTAAAGGAAGTTGGGGAAAAAATAGCAAAAAAGTGTGATGGGCTACCACTTTCCATTGTTTTAGTGGCTGGTCTTCTCACAAAGATGGACAGGACAGAAGGATGTTGGACGCAAATGGAATTAAGTTTCGGTGAACGAATCCAGGATGGAGCCAAGGATCTAGTAAAACTAAGTTACAATGATTTACCTTATAAACTGAAACCATGCTTTTTATATTTTGGAGCATTTTTGGAGGACAGAGAGATTTCAGTCTCAAAAGTGACATGCTTATGGATTTCTGAGGCATTCATAGAAAATGATGGGGAAAAGTGTTTGGAGGATATTGCAGAAGATTACTTAGATGATCTTATTGGGAGAAACCTCGTCATGGTGACTAAGAAGAGATCTATTGGGAAGAATAAAGCATGTCGTGTCCATGACTTAATGCTCGATTTTTGCAAGGAAAAGGCTGAGGAAGATAATTTCCTGTTGTGGCTGAAAAGGTATTTACCTCTTTATATGTTTCTCTAAGCTCTGATTAATTCGTACTTGATCTCGTTACTTATCCTGCTTAAATTCGCCGTTGCAGAGATCTAGATGCCAATCCTCCACATTTTTTTTCTGAAAAGCCTGTGCACCGCGCTTATCATTTTGCTCTAATCAGGATGATCTTGCTGGGTGGAGGCCATCATGCTCACACGCTCGTTCAATATTTTTCAGGGAGGTCAGTGATAATACTTGTTCTTCATTGGGACATGCCTCTATCATCTTTGGCAACTTCAAATTTCTCCGGGTGTTGGATTTGGAGTTTGATGATGTGAAATCTTTTCCCACTTAACTTAATCATCTGAGGTACCTTGCTGTTCAAACTACTGAGGATTCTATCCCGTCATCCAAAGAAAACCTTTGGAATCTTCAAACGTTCATAGTCAAAAGAAACGGAGGACACGTACTGTTGCCAGACACCCTTTGGAAGCTGAGTAAGTTGAGAAATGTAAGCATTAGTGACAGTGCTTTGTTTAATTTGCGTGGTGCACGAGAATCTCTTGATGAAAACCCCTCAAAGCTGGACAATTTGGCAACGCTTTCCTCAATATATGTTTCCAGGAAGGACAATATGGAGAGGATAGTAAGAAGAACGCCCAATCTTCGGAAGTTAAGATGTATTTTTGCCGATCCATGGGGTTGGGAAAAGAATGAAAATCGGTTCCCTGACTTGGACTCATTGTCTCAACTTGAAACACTAAAGGTGGTCTTCATCAGCATACCAGAGATAGGTCCGTCAATATTAAACTTTCCAATGAATCTCAAGAAATTGACATTATGCAAATTTCCTTTGCCGCCTGCTGAAATTTCAACCATTGCCAACCTTCTCAACCTTGAGGTACTTAAACTGCAACAAGTTGCCTTTGAAATGGATGAATGGGAAGTGCGAGACAATGAGTTCCCTCAGCTCAAATTCTTGGAACTAGAAAATCTCACTCTCTCAAAATGGGAAGTGTCTGATGAAGCCTTTTGTTGCCTTGAGAAACTGGTTTTGCATGGATGTTCACATCTCGAAGCAATCCCTGATTGTTTTGAGGACCAGGTTATTTGCAATACATTGAAGTAAAATCATGCAGTAAAGATTTTGCTGATTCGGTCGGGGATATCAAAGAAAAACGAGTTGAAAATGGTTACAAATGTGACGTTAAAGTCTTTACTTAGCATTGGAATAATGAGGCTGCAAGTCTACAGCCTTCGGTTCATTTCCAAATCTGATTAAAGGTACAGTCTTGAGCAAATGCTGGTATTTATATCGCCTCATGTATACTCCCTTGAATATATTTCTTTACTGACTATATATATATATATATTCAAATTAAATTGCTTTCAATTAGTTGTCCTTGAAAACTCTTGTGAATAAAATTTCCTTACTTCTTTTTTGGATACTGCAGCTATTCTCTGTCGTTGTTGGTCATTGTTCTTTGGTTGGTTGCAGCGAGCTGCTGGTTGGTGCTATTTGTTGGTTGCTGATGTGAGGGTATTAGTTTCTGTCATTGCTGTTTTTGTGTTAATTTGTTTTTGCATTCAGATGTACTATTGTGGCCCATGGCAATAGTAGTCGTATGAGTTCTTTTTTAAACAAAATGAATAGATTAGTGCTTTTAAGATCTCAAATGTATGGATTGAAGAAAGTTGGTGATTTGTCATGATATTTATGGAGCTTCTTATTCCAATTATTATGTTCTTATACATGAGATTAGTACAACCCAGGGAGAACCATACCCAAAAGCTAACTATTAAGGTGAGAAGTACCAAGGCTATATAAATCTTATATCAGCACATTATAGTACCGATATGCGATTCAAGTCTCATATCTTGCAATAAACCATAACAAACCACCAGTGTGGATCACAAGCACAGAAGTGGCGGGTGGCTTTGATACGTTTGATATAACCCAAGAAGAACTATATCCCAAAAGCTAGCTATTGAGATGGGAGAGCCCAAGACTATGTAGACCACACATCAGTACATTATAATATCGATGTGGGACTCAAGCCCATACATTGCAATGGACCATAACAAATATAACTCTGCTCTAACCTGAGAATAGTACAATAGTTTAGGACAAAATTTACTTGTTGGCCGAAACTAATTACAATCGCTAGCAAAAAGTTGTATTAAAAATGTATATTATATGTATGTATTATACATATATACAAAAAAAAAACTTGGCTATTATTTTCGGAAGATGCTAAAAATATATACTTCTACTTTTGTAATCTATTTGTATCTCCCATATCCATTTGCCCTTACCCCTTTTCCCAAACATATTCACGTTGACTTCTATATGTACGTGCAAATCTCATGTTCATATAAATATTTGTCCTGCTTTCATTTTCTAAAGTCGAAGAAGCACATAATGAGTTATATTTCTATAAATGATGGGATATTTATATGCCACGACCCCAAATTACAAGTGTTGTGACAACATCTATCATGATACTAGGCAAGCCGACAACTCAAAAATACTAACTTCTTTAAATCAAAATATACCGAAATAGGTTTAAGTAAATAAATTCTCGTAGAAATTGGAAGAAACACTACAACTCAATATTGAATCTTCCAAAATGCGGGTGTCACTGAGTACATGAGCATCTATACAATAACATAGTCTGATACACCGTCTAAGAAAGTAGAAGAGAATAAATAAAACTGAGTGATAGGGGAGGAGAGTCAAGGTCTGCGGACGCCAAGGTAGCTACCTCGAAAATCTCCGAATGACTGAAACTCCAAGATCAACAACCACCGTGCCCGAAAGTACCTGGATTTGCGCACGAAATGCATGGTGTAGCGTGAGTACAACCAACTCAATAAGTAACAAGTCTAACTTGTGGGCTGAAAGCAGTGACGAGCCCAACAATACAGTAAAAGTACAAAGTTTAACAATACAGAAAATATAGACATGCTTCCAGGTTCAACAGTTAAGTTCAACACTGATAAAATATGCCAAGTGTGACTGATAAGAGGAATATGATATATCTACATCTACATACCAATATGAATATCGTTTGTGATGCAACACAATAAAACCTCAAGTATTCACACTCTCAGAGCACTCAATCTGACTGTCTCAATTCTCGCCCGTCACACTCAGTCACTCAGCATTGTACAGGACCTGCTGCGGCGTGCAGCCCGATCCACATATAGCCCTAAGACCTATAGCGGCGCACAACCGATCCACATATAGCCATAAGTCTTGTTGCGCGTGCAACTCGATCTGCATATATACAGACATAAGGCTTGTTGCGGCATGCAACCTGATCCACATATATATAGTCATAAGGCTTGTTGCGGCATGCAAACCGATCGACATATATATAGACATAAGGCTTGTTGCAGCGTGCAACCCGATCCACATATATATCTCTCCCAATACGACACTCAGACCCCAACTCAGTCATCAATCTCTCCAGTCTCTCGGGCTCACAAATCTCATGCCAACTAGCCCAAATAATGATATATTACAAAAAATATTAGTAACAGAGACTGAGATATGATATGTAAATAATGGATGCGACTGAGTACAAAATTGCCATCTAAGAAATAATTCAACAGCAGAAATGACCACAGTGGGTCTCAACGGGATAAACATATACCCTAACATGATTTCAGACATGAATCGGTAGCTCAATTACTCTAACACATAGAGGTCACATGAATGGCTACAAGGTCTGATGACTACACAGTACTACAAAATCAATCAAATCACAGTTTCTACGGTGTACGCTCACACGCCCATCACCCAGCATGTGCGTCACCTCAACACCGATAACATAATACGTAATTCAGAGATTCGTACCCTCAAAATCAAGTTTAGAAGTGTTACTTACCTCAAACCGTGAAAATCTCTACTCCAACAAGCCCTTGCCCCGCGAATCAGCCTCTCAATGCCTCAAATCTATCCATAAACAATTCAATGCCATCAACACGAGCTATATGAATCAATTCCATATGAATGCGAAGTTCATAATCAAAAGTTAAAAAGTCAACTCAAAAGTAAACCTCGGGCCCATATCTTGGAATCTAATAAAAGTTAAAAAATTCGAAAGCCCATTCAACCACGAGTCTAACCATACCAAACTTAACAAATTCCGACACCAAATCGTCACTCAAATCCCCAAAGTTAACTCTCCAATCCCTAGCCCAAAACTCCCAAAGTTCCACCTCAAAAGCACACAAACTGGATGGAAAGTTCAATGGGTAAACAATATTATTGCATAAAAATGATTAAGAGTGACTTACCTCAATAAAACCCTCGAAATCCCTCTAAACAATTGCCTTAATCTGAGTTTGCAAAGTCCAAGAATGATAAAATCTCGGAACCCTTGAATCTTATGTTTTGCCCAATGCTTTTGCACCTGCGGAATCGCTTCTTCGATAAAAATCCCACGTCTACGGAAGTCACTTAAGTCCACAAGGTTCGTACCTGCGCTCAAAGTTCTACACCTGTGGAAGCACTTCTGCAACCCCTCCATCCGCTTATAAGAAGATAGCCCACTCTCCCATTCTCCGCATCTGTGGAGCTTTGCTCGCAAATGTGGAAGACCCTCGCAGCTGCGCCACACCCCATACCAGCCTAGCTCCGCTTATGCGCCACATCAGCCGCACATGCGGCTAATCCCCTCGCAGGTGCGATTGCACTAGAAGGAAAAATTCCAGCAATGCTTCAAATCCATCTTTTGATTTGTTAACCATCCGGAATCCACCCGAGGCCCTCGGGACCTCAACCAAACATGCCAACAGTTCAAAATATAAAGTTTGAACTTAGTCGAGACCTCAAATCACATCAAACAACATATAAAAAACACGAGTCGCACCTCAATTCAAGCCTAACGAAAACTAAGAAATTTCAACTTCTACAATCGATGCCGAAACCTATCAAATTACCTCCGATTAAGCTCAAATTTTTCAGACGAGTCATAATTGACACAAGGGACCTATTCCAATTCCCGGAATCAAAATTCAAGCCCAGTAACCAGAAAGTCAATCCTCGGTCAAACTCGTCAACTTTCCAAACTTCTAATTTACCAACTTTCGTCGTTTCAAGCCAAAATCAACTACGGACCTCCAAATCATTATCCGATCACAGTTCTAATTCCAAAATCACCCAATGGAGCTATCGAAACCATCGAAACTCCATTCGAGAGCCATTTACACATAAGTCATCATTCAGTCAACCTTTTCAACTTAAGCTTCCAACCTTGAGACTAAGTGTCTCAACTCATTTCGAAACTTCTCCTGAACCAAACCAACTACCCTAACAAATCACATAAAGTCTCAAATAGGCGTGGATATCTTCTCTGCATCTCCCTCTCGGTCTCCCAAGTAGCCTCCTCAACTGGACGACCTCCCCACTGCACCTTTATTGAAGTTATGTCCTTTGACCTTAACTTTTGAACCTGCCGATCTAAATGGCCACCGGCTCCACATCATATGTCAAATCACCATCCAACTAAATTGTGTTGAAGTCCAAAACATGATACAGATCGCTGATATACTTTCGGAGCATGGAAACATGAAACACTAGATGAACACCTGATAGACTAGGCAGCAATTCAAGCCTATAAGCCACCTCTCCAATCCTCTCAACCACCTCAAAAGGCCCAATATACCGAGGGCTCAACTTGTCCTTCTTCCTGAACCTCATAACACGCTTCATGGGTGAAACTTTGAGCAGTACCTACTCTCCCACCATGTAAGCAACATCACGAACCTTCCTGTCGGGGTAACTCTTCTGTCGCACCTTGGGAAGCTGATCCTGAATTAATTTAACCTTGTCCAAAGCATCTTGAACCAAGTCAGTATCCAACAGCCTAGCCTCACCCGGCTCAAATCATCCTATTTGAGACCAACACCGTCTCCCATACAAAGTCTCATAAAGAGCCATCTAAATTCTCGATTTGTACCTGTTGTTGTAGGCAAACTCTGCAAATGGTAGAAACTGATCCCATGAATCCCCGAAATATATGGCACAAGTGTGTAGCATATCCTCCAATATCTGAATAGTGCGCTCAGACTGTCCGTCTGTCTGAGGATGGAATGTTATACTCAACTCGACTTGTATGGCCAACTCTCGCTGCACTGCTCTCGAAAACTATGTGCCCCAATCTGAAATGATGGACACCGTCACACCGTGAAGGCGAACAATATTACGGATGTAAATCCCATCCGACCGCTCCAAAGAATAAGTAATTCCAACTGGAATGAAATGCGCGGACTTGGTCAACCGATCCACAATCACCCAAATAGCATCAAACTTCCTCGAAGTCTGTGGTTTCCAACTACAAAAACCATGGTGATACACTCCCATTTCCACTCCGTAATCTTAAGCCTCTAAAGTAATCTACCCGGTCTCTGATGTTCGTACTTCACCTGCTGACAATTAGGTACCAAGCTACAAACCCCACTATATCCTTCTTCATCCTCCTCCACCAATAGTGCTGCCTGAAGTCCTGATACATATTTGCGGCACCTGGATGAATGGAATACCACGAACTGTGGGCCTTCTCAAGACTCAACTCACGTAGCCCATCCACATTCGGCACACAAATCTGA